GGAGACAGTTCTCTCCTTCTACCATGTGGATTCCAGGGATCAAGGTCAGGTCATCAGCTTTGGCAGGAAGTATCCTGCAGAGCTATCTTGCTGGCCCTCTTTTTAATGTTTTTCAGCCAAGAAGAATACATATTTATTTCTTACTCTCCCATCAAGACTCAGCTCCCTGTGAAGCTAAGGAAAGGTAATACCCACAATGGGCCCCAAGCCTATTACAGAAAGGAAGATAACTTGGGAGAAGATATCTAAGGAGAGGAAAAGCAGTGCTGTTCAAGAAACCAGAAGAGAAAGGAAAAGCCTTCTGATAAAATCCATTTCATCTACCCACTTGCCTACTCCAACGGAGGATCTTTCTATGATTCACATCACTCCAGGAGTAATGAGCCCACAGTCTGCTTTCTCAAACCTCATCTCCAACAGTTGGCCCCTGCACCACTCCAGACTAAATTCATACACAATTCTACAGGTAATACTGTGTGTCTCCAAGCCACAGAGAGAAATGCTCAAAATCAGTATGAAAACTGGGTAAGAAATAGTTACAAGCTGACAATTATCAAGAGTGCATAGCAGTTCAATGAATGAATAATCTGAAATTAACAGAGGTGTTGTCTGCCACACACTGAAATATAACACATATCTTGCAGTGATCAGAGACAGGCACAGGCTCCAACCTCTTGTGATTACCAAACAAATGACTAACCAAAAGACCAACTGATAATCAAACGCACAATCATTAAAACTCCTCATGCACCAGAGCAGAAAGACCAGAGGGGACTGGAGAGGGCATGGGCATAGGCTCTGACCTCTCCTTGTGTCACCAATCAACAACAAATAATCATTAAAATTCCTCAAGCATCAGAACAAAGAGACCAGAGATGACAGGGAGGAACTCTCAAATCCACACCAACTCATTATAAGTCCTCACGCACAGATGGAAGAGGAAGCAATGTGTACTCACAGCGCGGCTGCCCTCAAGGAGTGGGAAACTTGCGCTCTCTCACTTTGGAATCATAATTGATTTGTCTCATCAATCAGAACAACAGTTAGCCATGTACCAGCCCCACTTTATTACCTGTTTTACACTCTGTATCTACAGGAGACTATATTTATTGCAGAACAGGCTGTAGCAAAAGCAATAACACACCTAAGATAACGAAGAGCCTCATAGTGTACTGACACATGAAGTCCAACTTTTCTAGCCTAGCAAGGAAAGGAAGGAGGAGAGGCAGGGTCAGGAAATAACTACACTTACAGATAATGGAAGTGTGGATGTGTGAATGGAGCAGTTACCGTAGAGCTGCCTTTCTAACCAAAAGAGATGCAGAACCAGGCCAGTCAAATTTGTGCCCAGATTCACTTTACGAGCATCCTGCCCTGAAAGGAAACCAGACTGTAGAAATGCACGCTGCGGTTGCTTATAAGAGCCCACCCTCTATACCTGGAAAAGTGAGAAAACACAGAGGCTCATCACTTCTTTATGACACAGTGTCTTACTATGTGGCCCTGGTTGGCCTGGATCTCACTATGTAGACCAGGCTGGCTGAACTCACTGGGTGACTGATCCTCGTGCCTCTGCCACCTCACCAAATCATTGCTTTAGGGCCTAAGTTACAGGACCAGCAGTGAGTACTCTTCCTTAGAAGTCATGATAAAACACGATGCAGAGGGGCCAATTTTTACCAAAGTGAGGACAAAACAGAGGACTATACAGATGGTATTGTACAGGGGTCATGCTCATCCTACAAAAATTCAACCTAATGTTAAGCTTAGACTATCCCGGCCTGTGTGTCATTTCCTAAGACACACAGCTTCTTACTTCTCACTACACAGTCAGCCAAGAAGATATTGCTTTAGCTAATTCTCCATATCAAAGTATTCTAATGCATCCTAACCCCTGGCCTTGTGAAATTAAAAATCCAAAAGGAGAGATACAAAGAATGGGCATAAACTTGACTTCTAAAGAGAGACGCAGTTATCTATTTGGTTCACAATCATGACTGGATGTCTTCTGCACAACACATTTCTTGAGTGTCTTCAGGAGACAAAGTGCATACTTATTCCTATCTTTTTTTTTTTTTTTTATCTCCAAGGATGTGCATTGTGATGGGAGGAGAATGAACGGGAGCATTATGCATAAATAACAGTTCTCAGTAAATTATTTTGGCAGCATAGTGCATATACTGTCAGCTCAACAAAATCTCCCACTTATCATGACCTAAAACTAAAAGGGAGAGTCAATCTGGGGCATTAGGGGGACACAGCTGAAAACGTAAGAGATTAAGAAACTTTTTATAAAGCTATTATATAAGTGCACATTACACAGTTATTACTATGGGGGTCACTTTCCATCAGCGGCACACTGCCTGCCCATGACCCTACATGCCTTACCTGTCCCTTGGACAGCAAAATTGCTGGCATGCTCTAGGGAGCAGAAACCCCATATATCTCACTTAAATGGCACAGGGGCACCCAACCCACACTCACACTTAACGCAGTGATAGAGGGACAGGGAGGTGAGGAAGGGGAAAGGCAAACCTCCTCTATTACACAGGGCACAAAAAATTGCAGGCTTAGCTGAATAATCCGCGATTCGCGCAGGCAAGGTCATGTCTGACATCTATTTAAATTGAATAGCTTTCCACTTCCAGTCTTCCACCTGCTCAAGCTTTCCTCTTTTATTTATGTGGTCACTAAGGGACATTTAACTGGCATTTATTTTTAAAGAACTTAAGAGCGAACCAATTTTTCAATATATAGACATAAAAGAGAATAAAAATAGGTATAAAAATGAGCCGCATTTTAAGGGTGAGTCGGTGGGTTAGGAATAACAATGTTAATAATGATGATAACAGTAAAGGCAAGCTTGCACAGGCACCACTGATAGCAACAATCACAACTGAAGGGCTAAGAAACACGAGAAAGCACCAGGCTGAGAGGCAGCATGTAAGAGAGGAGGCAAAGTCAGCACTGAAGATTTTTGGATGCTATCTTCCCAGGGCTTAGGAGGAGGACCAAGGCAGCACACTTTTACCTCACCACCTTCCTTAGCTCCTCACTGCCAGCACAAATCTAGAACCAGAGGGAGAACTTGGGCTACTGAGAACACCTATCCTCAAGCTATTGGTTTTTATTTATTTTTTTTTTTTTGGGGGGGGAGGGGAGATGCAGCTCATACTAGTGTTGTTTACTAATTTGTTTAAAATAGGTTTTTAGTCTTACATGACACAGTTTCCCAAGGTTTAATTACTCATCTCTGGAAAGGTCCTGGAGGGTGAGTTTTACATAAACATTTCCATAGGCAGATGGCCCCCATGCAGAGGAGCGTCATTGTGCTTTACAAAACTAGTATTTATAACATGTCTTCCCCTGCAGCTGAACAATCCCCGAACGGCCTTATGACACCAACCTCTTCAGCTAGAGAACAACATTAAGGAAAATATTGTTGAGACTACCACAGCACACACCTATAGAATTAATAATATATACATTAGAATAAGCCACAGGCTAGGCCCCAGAGAAAACAGGCTGACTAATAGAGTACTAGATGCATCACCCCTGGCAATAACAAGCCTTCGTAGATGTATGCTGACACTAGCTAATGGCTGGAAGGTCATCAACAGGAAGTTTCTTGACTGCTTAGGATTCTAAGGCATACAAATATATGCATGGATACATGCACGCACACACACACACAAAACCAAAAATGTGTCATTACTGTATCTCACCTACAAAAGACTATAACTTAGAGACTACTAGCTCACATGAAGTAGACAACCCTCTTTAGTCTGAGCTAACTGGCCAGGTTGAAAAAAAAAAAAAAGTTCACTGGAGTCCCATTGCTTCAAATAGGTATGAGGACAAACCCACAAAGGAGATTTGACCAAACACATCTAGAATAAGCTATCAATATGAAGAAGAGGAAAGTCTGTGGCCAAGCATGTGAACACAGTGTAAGTTCTTCCCTGTGGGACCAGGCTGAGCTCTAGAAGAGTTTGCTTATACCGGTATGATCTGCTTGAGGTCCAGGGCACATTCCTTGCAAATTCAAGCTCTGATGCACTAATCCTTTCTCCTGCAGCTGCTGGTGCAATGTGGTCCTCCTCGCCTATGGCACACACCAATCCCCTGCTTAGCCATTAGTGAGCACAGGAGTTGAAAACAACAGTGTGCATCCTGGGTGCCGGCCCTGGTCTCCAAGTGAAATCAACACTCTCATTACTCACCTCAATCCCCACCCCCACCTTAGCTGCTATCACTTCATACAAGATGGCACTACAGTTTTCTCTTTCCCACCCCCAATGTTACAGTCACAGTGCCTACAGCAGTTCCCACACACAGCAGGCACCCACTAAGTATCCGTGGGAGAAATCCTCGCAACATGCAGGGCGATGGTCAGACAGAAAATATCTCAAATGGGCATGGGCAAGTCTTCATTGCAAAACGGTGCTAGGGACACAGTCTTTTGAACTTCCAGAAGTATTTATCCACCTATTCTTCTATATATTGTACAGCCACATAGTCCTCTGTTTTGTCCAGCTGACAGACAAGCTGTGAGAAAGGACTCATTAAGAAGTCACAAGTAATTCTTAGATTTTCTCTCATAACTTACACTTGACATTTTACCATGAAGACTTTTCATTTACAGAATAAAATAGGTTAAAAAAAAAAAAAAAAAACCCTCCAAGAGCTAATTTTACTTCAGTATACAAGGGAAGTATAAAGTATCCTTTAAACTTATAATAGTGAAAAACAGAGAAGCAACACAGAGACAGCTCAGGTGAAGAAAGGGAATAGAGGTTTGAAATTATCCTTTTCCATAATGTAAACTAGAAGCATGGCAGGCGCCTTAAAAAATACCCTGGAAAATTCACATTTAGAGCCTGAAAAGCACAGAGCTACAGAGCTACAGAGAAGACAGAAGTAGAATCTTCTGGTGAGTAGGAAGCACGCAGGCTCTTGGAGGCTCTGAGCCCACAGCTGGATTCAAGGGCACAACTCACCCCAGAAATGTCAGCAACTCGGTGGATGGGCACTTCCTTCTTGCTGTGCAATCCTTTGCCATTCTTAATAGCTCTGTAAGGGCAGAAGAGAGAAACCCATTAAGATAGAAACCAGGCCAGGAAGGAGTGGGGGGGGGGTAATGGGAGGAGGGAAAGGAGCGGGGACTGTTGACATAGGGTATGCCACTACACAAACCCCAGTACACACTGCTGAGCAGCCAGCCTGTGAGGGGCAGGACAGTGGAAGCTGCTCTTGTCACCGGCCCAGTTACCAGTCCTTGGCTGCCAGTTTCAGCTAACTGTGCCTGGTAATCAGAGAGCTCCCTTGTTTCCAAATTAAAGGCATTGTTCTGGGCACAAAGGAAGAATCAGCTGGAAACTCACATGCCTAAGAAGCATAAGTAATAATGTTTCAGTGCTTAATCACACCAAAGAGTTTAAATGCAAAATATGTAGCTAGTGTTCCAATTCTAATGGAAATAAGTTCCTCCCAGGTAAAAAGATAAGTTACCTGAACCGAAGCAATATTGTACAGAAAAGCCATTTAAGACTGGGGAGGAAATCCGTGAGTACTATATAACTTCTTTAACCGATATTAAGCTTTGTTCTGATTAGCTGTGGGGTGGGAACAGCAGGATTTCAAAGGGCACTCTGAGATCCACATATCTGGCTATGGGTTGGTTAGTAACAACCTCCCACCTCTTAACTACCCAGCATGACTGGGCATCGTTACTGGTGTAACAGGAAAAGCCACAGTGTAGAGCGGGTTGCTTAAGTCATTAAGTCCTTCCACTATAAGAAGAGGCCCATGTGGGTCCTGCTAGCTTCAGACCTCAGCACAGTTCAGGGGTCCCGACTCAGGCCTTTGTAGGGTCTCTGGGTTCTAAAGGTAGTGTGGAGAGAGCTGCTAGAGCAGGACCGAGGTTGTGTGTGGACCGTCCTCCTAACATCTGCACTTACGGGGTGGCAATACCTCTCTAAAGAGTTAATTCTCAGGGGCGCAAAACTCTTTAACCTAACCTCAACAAACCACGTCATGGAGGCACTGCTCAGCACCACCTAGAATGTGACACTTCTTACCTGGCTGTAGCTGCTGCTTTGACAGTTCAGTAAACTTCTCTGCCATTCCAAGTACTCTGTCACTCACTCTACTGACTTGAAATGCTTTTCAAAAACAAAACGGAAGCTTTCCTTTTTTTTTTGCATGGCTGTTTCCACCAGTGAACGGCGTGTGAAGGAGAGACTCTTAAGTGGCATAGCTTCCTGTGAGTGAGTAGTTCAGTGTTTGTGGCTGGTACAGTGCCTGTGAGTGGTATAGCTTAGTGTAGGTGAGTGGTATTGTACCTACAAGTTTGTAAAAGGGGGCGGGGTTAATAGTGCTGTGGTTGTTTTTTTTTTTTTAAATTATGGCTCTTGTAAAAAACATCAATAAGCTCATGGGTTCACCAAGATGGATTTACACAGCATTCTTTCGGTGATTTATGGGTATCCTCCCTATCTGGAGTGAATAGATACCTATTTTTAAAAATTATGTTCATGTGTTTAATATGTTTGTGTGAGCATGCACACATTCAGAGGTTAAAGGGCAACTTGGGGAGTACTTTTTTTTCTTCCCCTCCTCCCACCATGTAGGTCTAAGGGATAGAATCTAAGAAGGCCATCATGTTACAGCAAGGAATGGGATCTGCCACTAGGAGACATGCCCTGTTTCCTCCCATGAAACTTAATTTTTGTCAGGCAGACTCACCATAAAGTACTCTTTTCTTTCTAGTATTCCCATCTAGTGCAGACCCTAGGAGCTGCCAAGGGGTTTGTAAGGATCTATTTATCCTACTGGGTCCTGACTCAGAAGGACATAACTATTTCTTTTTCTTTCTTTTGCTTTTGGATGCTAGCCAGAGTCTATGTACGCTTTGAAACTCCGCGCGCTTTGGGCTTTCTTATTCTTTTTTACAAAGCTCCAATCCCTGCCATTGGGCTGCCTCTTATCTTTTCCATGAGCCTCCTCTGGTTAGCTGAAGAATTATAGTTTTTCTACTGCGCGTGTGTGCATTTTCTTTTAAACCCTAGTTAGTAAATTCTTCTTGTTCTTCTGTTTGGGTGTGTTCTTAATGTTTTCATTAAAGAGATTAAGAATCCAAGAGTGGACATCCAAATTCCTCCACATTATATGGTGGGGCAATAGGAACTCTCCAGATTTCTAATCCTTCTTTCCTTCAGTTATATCTTTTCATATATGGAGAAAACAAACCTGTAGCTACAGACCTAGAAAGAATCCATCAGGTTTGGTGGAAAGCACCTTTACCAGCAGAACCATCACACTACTTTACCTGCTTTTATATACTTGCCCTCCCCTTGGGTGTATAAGCCAGTCTACTTTCTACTGTACACTAAGTACAAGATTAGCAGGAGAAAAGACCATATACACGGTCTATTTGATATGCAACTCAAAAGAAGGCATTTCAAAGTCCCTTGCATGCCAAAGTTACTCTTGAGTTGGAATCAATTGCAAATGGTAGAAGTACTTCCTTCACAATTGGTCTGCTACCCTTCAGGATCCTGTTGACAGCCATTGACTAGGGCTGACCATCAAGGACAAATTGTTTCTATTTCCTATGATTTGCATCTAACAGAACAAGAACATTTAGATAGAAACCAATGGCTAGAAGCCACAGATGAGGCACTTCTACCCTCTAAACCCCCATTTCCACAACCTCCCATCACAAACAGACTCTCCTGACTTGGCCACTTGTCGAATCAGTCTTCAGAAGGACTGGCAAACTGACTCCCATCTGGAAGCATCTCACTCCCAGAGAGCAAGGCGAAGAGGTTTTCTGTATGTTCACCAGGGGTACTGGGCGCCTGAAGATGTCTTCTCTCCCAAGAAGAACCATCAAAATAGATGACTATGCCCTCAGAAAGGGTAGATTCATGTTAAAAGGCTGCTGAACCGGTAGCCTCTCCTGGACCGGAGAATAACTGGTATTCATGAAGAAGAATCCAGAGAACAAATTAGAAAGCTAAGCAAAGGCACTGAGGCATACTAAACTACAATTGTGCTTTCTTTCTGTGACCCTAAATCTGGAACTGAACTAAGGTGAAACATGCAGCTACCAAAGTGAAAATAGGAAATGTGGACAACAATGTAGAAGAAACATTGGAAACAAGAGTTCTTTAAAACTAAGTCCTAAAATCTCTTTTTTCTTTAAAGTCAGTGCAAACAAGATATGTTCTGCTTTGTTCCTAAAGGGGGCATATCAGGCACTTCCTTGCATTCAGGCATCGATTCTGAAAAACCTTCAGATAGGTTGTTTTATGCTTATGATATGATGGTTAAATTAGATAAATTTCTAGCATGTTTAAAAAGTACCAGTGAAGAACTATAACATCGGGTCTGCTTTTCATTATTTAGAGAATATTACTTTTTTGTAATCAAGTCCATACAAGACCATACACACTTACTACTACAGTGTGCTATCTGTGCATGCATAGAAAAAAACTCCAGTTTAATTATTTCCAGACCAACATGGCTGTCAATTTCTGTTTGGTACCAACTAACACAATAAACTGGAATTCTTTTTTCCAAAGTTGACAGCATAACTAGTTCTTAAAAGTTCAAATTACTACTCATACAGATATTTACTTATACTTACATAAAAAGACCAGTAATGGCAGGATATTACGCATCAATCGAATAAAGAACTTTTTTGGGTAGAACATCCTATTCTCAGATTCCTGTTCAATCTATGATGCTGGTACTACGATGCTGGCTACCAGGGAGGCTGAGCCCAGGAGCTCAAGACTAATTGGGCCAGCATGACAAGACTCCATTCACAACAAACAAACAAATGCCAACTATAACATGCACATGCACACTTAAAAAGCACCAACAGACCTGAAACTGCTCTTAACAATGAGAGGAAAACTGACCATTCACAGTGGGTAGCTGACTATTCAGGTATTACCAGTCAGAGAGCACATGGGACTCAATCACAAAGCTAGAAAGATTTTTAAGAAATGAATACAAGGACTCATTCTAAGTTTCCTTCGCTGAGCAGATTTACTTTGGATTTTGTTCAGTTACTGCCGCAAAATGACCCATGAGCCATCTCTAGCAAATTCCCTTTGCCTATCATAGAGAAGAGCTACAGAGGGGACATGTCTTAGAATAAGAATCTGGGGTCACTAGTCTGGGTAAGGGCCAGACCTATATTCTTTGCAAAGTAGTAAATGCCCTTCTATCAGGGTTACAAGGTCACCCACCAGGACGGACTATAGGACATTGTATATATGAAATCAAGAGCTGGGCTCTGCTGAAAGCTAGGTGTATTGCCCTGACGTCATTTCTCAGTGTCGTTCTCCCTGGCTATCCCATTCAATCCTCCTTCTGGGGCAGAATTCTGAGATGCCGGTGAGAGGGTAAAGGTGCATTTCCACCCACAGATCCCTGGGTGACATGGCACAATGACACCTTCCCCCACATGGCCTTGCTCTGCAGACCACTGCACAGCTCTATATCCCCTTTCATTAGTCAACGAATGAATGACTTCTCCACTTCTGCCTCTGCCTCTGCTTGACAGGTACAGCCTCACAAAGGAAGGCTGGGGTTGAGAGCAGCCAGGAGAAAGGAAGCAGTGTGGCAGAACACAGCCTGTTCCTCTCAGAGGCTTTATTCTCTGAGACGCAGCAGTTCAAGGCCAGGAAAACCAGCAGCGTCAAGAATGGACAAAAGCTGTCACTGGCCAGGAAGACCTGGTCTACAGCCAGATACAAGGAAAGGGGTACCAGGGAAGCAGAGGGATGAAAACCGTTTGGTACATTTCTCCTGGGCCTAGGAAGACAGGTGGGTGCTACAGTGTAGAAGATGATCTTTATCCAGGTCGCTGGAGTAAGTAGTCTTTGTTTAAGAGTAAGATATGGACTCCACACACATTAGAGCTATGTTCCTCCCGCTCCAAGGAAAAACCAAGTGCTTTGGGAAAACAGATGAGAGCTGTGACAGCAACATCATCCTCAGTGCCTGGGCACACCAGAAACGGGACCTCCCTCAATGTCAACGCACAGGAACAAAGT